TGACACATAAGGACCCTCCACAGGGTTTCCGAGGAGCATTTAGGCAATATTTTTAAGTTAAAAATGAATTAATAAATGGATGAGGTAGTTTCTCAACTTAGGGAGGGATGGCTGGAACCGTTAACCTTGCATTTTCTTTCTCCTTGGGGATCTCTCACCCATTACTTGTGTTATGACTATGATGGAAGGGGTTCCTCTTCTAATGCTCTGACGCCAAGTGTGGACAGACAATGCTTCTTTACTACTTGTTCATCGTAGAGTTAAAAAGTGGTGATTGAACAGATGGAAACGCATACCTGATAGGACAGCTATAAGGAACAGCGCATGCATCCTTCTTTATTTAGAACATCCTCCGAGATGGTCTAAGTGGCAAAGAGATCATCTTTCCCCACCAGCTGAGCATGTTCTCAGACCTGCAGGGGCTCTGTGTAGCCCAAACTTAAGAATGTTTTCCTACTAGAAGCAAAATATGGTTGCTTGCTTCCCAGAATAAGGCCTACCTTAAATGAATGATTGTGAGATTGTCCTCCTCAACACAGGAAAGTGGCTTTTCCTCCTATCTCTTTCTTGTTGTTGTTAAGTGTCGTGGAGTCAGTTTCCTCTCATAGTGACCCTGTATATAGGGTTTCTGAAGAACGGCAGCTGAGTTTGAACCTTGGACCTTATGGTTAGCACTCCAGTGCTTATCCTACAGTGTCACACCAGGACCTCTTACTTCATGGTCATTTAAAAGTATTTCTCATGGTAGACCATGACAGGAGTTGGATTTAATGATACAGGAAAGGACCTCATTGAATAAACAATGCCCTGATCCTCTGCTGAAATAACATAAACAGCTGTGCCGAAGCCAGTAGATGAGATTATGTTCTTCTCAGTTTTGGGTAGCAAAGGCTGTACTAAAGAGCTCTATCATAAAATCACTCACAGTTTTAGGAAGTAACTTAAAAAAGCTTACTATGAAAATTTTTTCTTTTAATGCCAAGTGACATATGAGTACACACTTCAGGGGTTAAAAGGAAGAAGCACTAAAAAAAAATTCACACCTTTTGGTTTTTATCAGTTGGCATTTCATAAAGAAACTGATGACATAAACAGCGGTATGGGTGAAAACCATGCAACTTAGAATAAGAGAAAAAAGACCCTACAATAACCCACAGGAAGATCAAACACAAGAAAGGGAGACTTAGATGTTGAAAGGAAGCCAATAGAGCTTGGTAAACGTGGTGTATCTCAGAATTTCTCTCTTTATGAATGTCAGAATTATTTGGAATAAGCCACCTTTCTTCGTTCAGTTTATAGCCATCCACACATAGAGAACAAATGCTGTATTCATTGTTATGATGGTAATGTATTTTATGGGATTGGAGGAAGAAACAGTCGTATCTTGGAGGGTTTTATATTCAACAGATAAACACTTTTAAAAAATAAACAAACAAAAACTAACAATAAGAAAAACCTTGTGCACATCTCTAGATAGGTCATTACCAAATGAGTAAGAGTGACAAGAATTTAGAAGTTGAGAGTTTCCTTAGTACATAGTTTAGCCTACTGTGATTTACTTAAAATATTTCTCAGTCTACTTACTACCTTGGACTTTGACATAGAATAAGGCCCATGTTAAAAACTTTATCTGTACTGTGTAAAAACAAAATCTAATTAGTGAGGTATTTTTAAAAATACAGTACTTTGACTATGTGTAACAATAAGGATAATAATAGTAAGCTTTTGCTTATAAAAGTGGCAAGCACTGAAACAGAGACCAAGTGACTAAAAAAATTTAAGAGCGTTTATCATCAAATGGAGGGAGCAAAGTATAATTCATTGAACTATTTCATTTTCAAACATTTTTCTTAAAATAGAGAAATATGATTAGTACAAGAAGAAAGGAAGAATAGAATATTATTCTATAGCTTATATGTTGTTGTTGTTGTTAAGTGCTGTCAAGTTAGTTCTGAATCATAGCGACCCTGTATAAAGTTTCTAAAGAGTGGCTGGTGGGTTTGAACTGCTGACCTTGTCATTCAAACTGACCTTGCAGTTGAGTGTTGATCCTACAGTGCGACACCAGGGCTCCATAGCTTATATATTAGGTATTATATTCTGTTAATAGGCCCTTTTGGTCCGTGTTTGTCATTGATGTATCCTTGGTACATGGCATCAGCAAACAAAAATCACAAGTGGTTCATAGAAAAAAAATGAATGTAACATAATCATGAAGCTAGTTTACAAGTCTCTCAAATAAGCATTTAAATTTTCTTACATTCATATTAGAAAAGCTCCAGGTAAATCAATGAATGTCAATAATTTTTCTTCTGAGCCAAATTTATACAAATTATGAAAAGATTTAATATGAAGTCAGATGGCTTTTTCTTGTGTCTCCTGTTGTTGTTGTTAGGTGCCATTGAATTGGTACCAACTCACAGCAATTGTATGTACAAGAGAATGAAAACTTGCCCAGTCCTATACCAATAGCATAATCATTGCTACACGTGAGCCCATTGCTGCTGCCACTGTGCCAGTCCATCTCATTGGGGTCTTCCTCTTTTTCTCTGACCCTCCATTTTACCAAATATGACATCCCTCTCCAGGACTGCTCCCTCCTGATAATATATCTGAAGTATGAAAGACGAAGTCTAGTCATCTTGACTTCCAGGGAGCATTCTGGCTGTACTTCTTTCAAAACAGATTGGTTTGTTGTTTGGGCAGTCCATGGTACTTTTAATATTCATCTGAAACACCATACATAGCTCAACTGCATCAATTTTTCTATGGTCTTCCTTATTCACTGTCCAACTTTCACATGCATATGAGGTTACTGAAAATATCATGACTTGGATCAGGTACACCTTAATCCTCAAACTGACCTACATACTGCCAACTTCATGCATCACTTCTGTATTACTTGATGTTTCAGGAGCATCAGACACATTCAGCCACTGCTGCTTGAATGCTCTTCTCTCAGCTTCCATGCCATCACACTTTCCCAGTTTTGATTCTACTTCACTAGTTGTTCTTTCACAGTTTCCCTGCTAACCACTTCCTCTACAGTTCAATTTCTAAAGGTAATGGAGGTTTAGGGATCTACTTCTACTCTGTAGGATATCATGTTTAGTCCTATTATATTAAGTATACCATCTTCATGCTGAGATGATCGTTCCATCAAGATGTCCAATAGGCATTTCAAATTTAGACTTAAGCAGAATGCCTTTTTTATTTCCCTCTTCCCTTCTGCAAATCTACTTTAATCTTAAATCTTTCCCAGTTCAGGAAAAGTTATCACTGCCATTCAGTTGCTTAAGTCAAAGGTCTAGGAGCTATCATTTATCTTCTTCTTATCAAATATGCCACCTCATATCTATTGGTAAATTCTATTTATATTCCAAATCCATTAATTTCTCTCGGTCTCTACTACTGCTATTTTCATCCAAACCACCACTGTAATGATCTTCTAAACCTACTTTTGCTATTGCCCCTTGTTGTTAAGTACTGTCAAGTCAGTTCCGATTCATAGTAACCTTGTATAGGGTCTCTGAGGAGCAGCTGGTAGGTTTGAACAGCTGACCTTGTGGTTCACTGTCCATTGCTTCTTCCTCAGTGCCACACCAGAAGTCCTTGTTATTTCCCCTAACCTCTCACAATCTATTTTCTACCCATCAGTCTCTGTGGGTTAATGTGCCAGACTGCAAAGCCATTTGAACTGCAAGGTCGGTGGTTCAAACTCACCAGCCACTCCTCAGAAACCCTATACAGGGTCGCCAAGGGTCGGGACCGACTCGATGGCACTTAATAACAATAAATTGTTAAGCAACAACAACAGTTAGCGTAAGCTCTTATTTGTTGTTGTTGTTAAGTGCCTTCAAGTCAGCTCTGGCTAACAGTGACACTGTCTGAGATGTCCAAGGAGCAGCTTTTATAGACTCAAGTAAAATGAAAACTCACCGATAGCTCCCTATTGCCCTTAGGTGTTAGGGTTGGGGTGGGGGGGGGGCGAAGATCCAATTTCCTTTGTCTAACTTTTAAAACTCTTATGATCTGGTCTTTGCCTATTTTCAGCTATTATATCATATTGTTCTTCCCAGATCTTTGCATCACTGGCATTTTTCCCGGTTAAGTTCAGTTTTCATGTTACTTCCTCAGAGAACCTTTCTTTGACCTCCCAATAAAGAATAGTCATTGCAATTCTATAGCATAATTTTATTTTAACTTTCTAAATAAGATTTACAGATATGTGAGTCATACTTACAAATATTTAATATTCTCATTTGTTTACTAGAATTTATCTTTCTTAACTGGAATGTAAGTTCTATGAGGTCAAGGATTTTATATCTTTAATACTTTAACATGCTGGTTAGGGTACCTATCCCACATGATTGTAATCAAATATTTACTGGTTCAGATGAAATAATATATTTGTTGTCTATACTGAAAAAATGAAGAAAATGTATGAAATAATGTAAAGTAAAACAAAAAGCACAAATGATCACAGATATGTATGCAAAAAATAGTGTCGTATTAATGATAAGACAGAAAGTTGTGGGGTCATGAAAATAGTTGCAATTAGATAAGTTCTAGATTCATCACTTAGTGTTCTACTTCATGCAAGTATCTTAAGGCATTCAATTTCTTTATTTTTAAAATGAAGATAACTCTACTGTCCTCACAAGGTAATCACTGTGGATGACAATTTGTGGTATACCAAGTATACCATAAATGTTATCACTTGGTAATCTAAATAGCAAAAACCGGGTTGTTGTTAAGTGCTGTCGAGTCAGTTCTGACTCCTAGACACCCTATATAAGGGTTTCCAAAGACAGCTCATGGGTTTGAACAGTCAATCTTGTGGTTATCCAACTGCCACACCAGGACTCCAAAATCCAGAGATCGAACTACTATTTTTAGTTATCTTTAACTTTAGTTATTAAAAATTCATGTAGTCTCCTTCCTAAATTTTTTCCTCTCTCTCTCCCTCCCCTCACCCCTTTTTTATTTTAAATACATACCTTCTTCTGGTGTTTGTGCCCTCAATGGTTCACTCCAATCACTCCAACTTCCTTTATGAAGATGTAGTTTAGAGGAAATCTGAAATTCATAATCTGTATATGGTTTCAGATCAAGCAAATCATGTCTTCCTTTGGCATTTGTAATATTAACCTTTATCAAACAAGATTTTAAAAGGTGTGCATTAATATTAAATTATTAAATTGACTTAAACAATCTTAACATAAAGAGAAGCTAGACCATTTTAGATAAAGTTTTCAAATCTATTATTCAACAATAAGAAATAGCAACAAGTAGTTTCTAAAAGCACATAAAGTTAATCTGAAATACAATCTCATTGTAAAAAAAAAAGGACATAAAAAACTCTTCAACTAATAGCCCATTCACCTGAGTTCTAAGAGGGCTCCTGAAACCAATGAGTAAAGATTGAGAAGTATTATCTTCAAAACTTTAGTGAAACTACCTTGAGATTATTTTTTATTTGGTCACAATTAGATTTAATATACATTTTAACACAGATAAGTGACCCCTTTCACTGTCTAATTCTGGTATCAGAGTCATGGAGACTGATTTTCACATGTTCAATTAGTCTGTTAGACTAATTCATTCCAAGCCTCTTCACTTCTCATCACTGCTTCTGCACATGGAGAGACCAATAGCTGCACCTTAGAAGGCTGCTCATCAGTTTCCAAGATCCTAGATGCTACTTACCAAAGTAGGATGTAGAACATTGTCTTTGTGGACTATGTTATTGGGCTAGATATCTTAAGCTCCATATTTTTCTGGCAAGAAAAGACAGAATTCTGTATGGAAATATTAAGGATGTCTTCCCATTTACTCTTAAGACCATTACCATTTTCCAGGATCTGCTATTATTGGACCGATATTTGAGTTGATTAAGCAACACTATCCCTTCATCTCTCCAATGAAGGGTACATCTTCTCACGGAAGCATTTAGAAATTGGATTCTGATGTCCCACGGAGGAAGGGGCCTCACTAGCAACCAGGACAAAAAGATATAATTCAGGATCCACACTTGGAAATTGCCTTATGCATTAACATGAGGTATAAAGAAGTGAAAAAAATCATTTTTGTGATGAATTTTCTTATATATTTGACAAAATATATGAGAGAAATACTAGATTTAAAAAAGATAATAAAATTGGTTCACTTCTAAATCATTAAAACAATTCCCCTTAACTTGCTATAATTTTTACCAAATAAACTAATACCAACATTCCTGATAGTGTTGACTCTACTTAATTCAAAGATTTAAAGAAAATCAGGATGCCAAACCCATGAGATTCCAAATGATAAGAAGATTAAAGTAGCTCCTGGTGATTGCTTCCAGGAGAGGAAATATTGGTAGGAAAACTCATAGGAAAGGGACAGAGAAACAAAAAAGCAGAAGAAAAGAATATGGTAAAAGAAGATAGCTGAGAGATTGGCAGTTCAAACCCACCGGCTGCTCCTCAAAAACCCTATACCGAGTGACTATAAATTGAAACCAACTCAATAGGACTTAACAACAACAGCATTGTATTTTCTCAGAAATGTACCAGAGCTGGTTCAATCCAGTTCTCAAGCTGATAAGAAGGGTGGAGGTAAACATTTCCAGAGAAAAATGCATTTGTATTTTGATACATTTTACTTATAGTTTGTACTTGGCTACTCCAGCCAGGAGGCCACCAGGTAGCCATCTCAGAACAGTGGGAGTATCCATAAGGACAAAAAAACACTGTCACCAAGAAGAGTCTATAATGAGCTACTTGAATAACTTCCTAACTAGATGGTATTATTGACAGTTGGTGCCTTCAAGAAGTCAGGAGTTCTTACTTCTCCAACAGAGAGAATAATTTTCAGAATCCCATTTCATACAACCATCTCTATATAGTTTTGGATTAGTGTGCCCTTTTATTTTCAGTAATTCCTACCCTTTCCTATACCCACTGGCCACTTACATAAGTAAAATCAGCACATACATAAGATTTGAGTATTAAAAAAATGTACCTATGTCCAAGAATGTGAATGTGGATGGGAATGAAGTAGAACTTCCAAGCCTGTTGGTAGCAGTCACCTTGGCTGTGTAATTGGATTCAGGTGATTCAGGAGTTATGTTTATTCCAAGATCCATATGGTCACAATAATGATCCTTACATTGCTCCTGCCAAGTTAGATTTTTTGGTCCATTTAATCTTTAAATAAAAGAAAATTATGTTAGAAAGTTACTTTATGTGCTACTTTCTCCTTTAAATACAAAAGAATTAAGTATTAAATGTTTAAAATACTAGACGGTTTTTAAGGTCAGTGCTAGAACCAGGGGAAACACTATGAACATATTTGTATTATATGGTCATAAATATAACCATATTTTCCTTCTCTCTTTTTTTTTTTTTTTTACAGAACTCAGATTTGTGTGTGTGTGTTTACATAGATGAGTAACTTTGCTGAGTATTTTGCCTGGATTCCCTGGCTGCCATCTTGCTTCTAAGGGTAATTCCAAGCATTACCCAAAGGATGCCTGGTCTCCTTGCCATCAACTGCATAGAAGAGCCAACTCCTAGTACAATTGATTTGGCCTAACTGGAATCTTGGCTCCACATCCTTTCCCCCACCCTGTCCTTGGCTCACTCAAGTGTGGGGCTACCTAGTGGAAACCTGCTGGGTCTTTCAATGGGATCATAGATCAACTCTTTGATCTTCTTTTCTAGTGGTCTCTCAGGTCAAAAAACGGTGCTGTAGAAAGAAATGCCAAGGCTAACAGAAAGCTACTATAAGGAAGAATCTATTTACATATTATGAACCAGAGAGTTTATGACTACAAAAGAAGGACGTGATATTATGTAACCATATTTTAGTTTAGTTTAACCCCTCTACACCAGGAAAAAACTCTCAAAAGTTGCCCTGAAGAGCATTCTGAGTTAGAATTCAGACAGAATGTTTTTCTAAACATCAGGTCTAAAATACTGTAGGTGAATGAACCAGCTTTTACTAATGAACACATTATAATTTTTATGTAAAAAGGTTCTAATTACTTAAAGGTGTGTGTAGCTTTTCTTCTTTAGTAAAAACAGAACTAGTGAATATTTTTAAAGGTCATGTAAGAGAAGTCCGATGAAAGAGCTGCAAGAATACAGTCTGTCACTCACTGTAAAGTATAGACTGTGTATAGGTGGGTGTCTCTTCCTCTGTCCCAGGTGCAGGCCACAGTCCCATGCTCTCCCTTCTGCACACAAGATACATTTTGAGGCTGTTCTGGAACAACTTTTCAAAGAAAAAAAGCAACCTCTCATATTTCCAATATCATTTAAGAGATCTTTAAATGACAATGTTAGGTTTTTGACTAATAAAATGACAGTACTTACCAACCTACCCACCCCTCACACACACATTTCCCCCATATCCATATGAGCTGGAAGTCATCAAGCACTGGACTGTTAACAACAAAATTAGCAATTGAAACCTACCAGCTGCTCCTCAAAACCATATACAGGTCGCTATGAGTCAAAACTGACTCGCCAGCACTTAAAATCAAGAAGTTCAAATTTGCCTTTAAGGCATACATTCCTTCTAATAATAGTCATAATAGTAGTGAATATGGATCAAACATTTAGCATATGCCAAACCCTATGCTGTTTTACAGGCTGGTTTTCTCAATTAAATACTATACCGCCTCGTTTTTTACCGACAAGGCAACTAAGACTTAGAGGGGTTAAGGAGCTTTCCCAAGATCACAGAGCTGTGAAGTGGAGGAGTCAGACTGGAGTCCAGCTTTTCACCATGACATTCTCCTGGTATTCCTGACAGGTGAATATCTAGCACTTGTTTAATTAACTTGAATGACAGTAGATTGACATTTTTTTTAGAATGAAGCCCATTCATTCAGATACTAAAACCAGTTGCTAGCATGCCTACTCAGACACATGATGACCCCATGTGTGTGAGAGTAGAACTGTGTGTGCTCCACAGGGTTTTCAGTGGTTGGTGTTTGGAAGATTGCCAGCATGTCTTTCAAGTCATACCTACATGGACTTAAACCACCAACCTTTCAGTTAGCCTCTGAGCTTGTCAGCTGTTTGCACCACTCTAGAACTCTATTCAAATATTTCATTGTTGCTAGGTGCCACTGGGTCTATTTTGACTTATGGTAACTCCATGTGACAGACTAGAATTGCCCCATTGTGCTTTCTTGGCTCTCCTCTTCACAGAAGCAGATTGCTTGGCTTTTCTCCATTGGAGTGGAGAGGTGAGTTAGCAGTCAAGCAATTAACTGCTTGTACCACTATTAGGTTGTTGTTGTTGTTGTTGTTAAGTGCCGTCAAGTCGGTTCCGACTCATAGCAACCCTGTACAGGGTTTCCAAAGAGCAACTGGTAAGCTTGAATCACCGACCATGTGACTTAAACAACTTTGCAGTCCAGTGCATTAACCCACATCACCACACCAGGACTCCACCATTAGTTGTTGTTGTTAGGTGCCATTGAGTCAGTACCAACTCATAGCGACCCTATGCACAACAGAACAAAACACTGCCCAATCCTGGGCCAACCTCACAATTGTTGCCACACTTGAGCCCATTGATGCTGCCACTTTGCCAATCCATTTCACTGGGGGTCTTCCTCTTTTTCTCTGACCCTCCATCTTACCAAGCATGATATCCTTCTCCAGCGACTTGTCCCTCCTGACAATATGTCCAAAGTATGACAGACAAAGTTTGGCCATCCTGGCCTCCAAGGAGCACTCTGGCTGCACTTCTTCCAACACAGATCTGTTGGTTCTTTTGGCAGCCCATGGTACTGTCAATATTCTCCTCCAACACCATAACTCAAAAGCATCAATTCTTCTACGGTCTTCCTTATTCACTGTCCAGCTTTCTCATACATATGAGGTGATTGAAAACAACCATTAGGTAGGTAACTTTAAATGTTAGGGTGTCTTTTCTCCATATTGACTATGAATTTGCTAAGACATTTCCACCCACTGGCTCTAGTTGTGTCCTCCTGGATGTGCCACCTAAAATATAAGGTGGAAAGTGCTTAACTAAAACCTAAGTCTATACCATATCCATCTAGTTTTCACAGCACATCCCTTGAGCACTTTATGACCATTTATAAATCAATGGATTCTTCCTATACACAGATAGTAAAGGAGCCCTGGTAGCCTACATTACAAGCTGGGTTGCTAACCACAAGGTCAGCAGTTCAAATATACCAGTCACTCTGTGGGAGAAAGATGAAGCTTTCTGCTCCCATAGAGATTTACAGGGTCTGAAACCCTATACAGGGCTGCTATGAGTTGGAACTGATTCAGTGGTACTCAACTACCAACCACTACCATACAAAGATATTGTGACTTCTCATGGGCCAAAGTGTTAGCCGTAGAAATACAAAAGAGAATAAGGCAGTTGTAGTCCCTTCATTCATAAGGTGTGTATTTTGAAATGAAGCCATTTCATAATCAAAGACAGTATCCAAAGCTAGGAGTTTCTCATATTAATGAAGGGACAATGAAATATTCTGTTTCTTGCTCTCCTCCCATTCTAAGCTCTTACTGAGATCCACATGTAGAAGTCAGTTTGAACAGAGCAGATATCTCCTTTTGGTGAGATAAAATAAGTATAGCACTGAAGCTGTAGATATTGTCTGTACCAAACATACAAAAAAGTTGCAATCAATGGACAAAATGTATTTTTGGTTTTGCATACACCATACGCATGGGTACAGTAACTGTTCACTCAGTGAGCTTTAACAAGTGAAAGTTACAACAAGTTCTCAGAGCTTCAGTTCCTCTGTCTATAAAATAGTTTTTAACAATGTTTGCTCATATAGCTTTGTTTTAAAAAAGGATACATTCTCAACCTTTAAAGGACTGTTGCAAAAGTAATAATCTCCTGCTCACTTCCGCTAATTTCCCCCTACCAGAATCTACCACTTTCAGCTCTTTTTCAGCAGACTCCTTTGTCATTTTCCTCCACATTGCTAAATGGCACACAGTTGCACATTCATTTAACTACCTTAGAAAGCACTTTCTAGGAGAACCTAGGGGATCCAAATGGTTAACAGATTCAGCTGTTCACGAGAAAGTTGGGGGTTCAAGTCAACCCAGAGCTCTTCAGAAGAAAGGCTGATGATTTATTTTTTAAAAAATCAGTCATTGAAAACCCTGTGGAGAAGCTCTACTCTGAGACACATGGGATTACCATGAGCTGGACTCAACTTGACAGTAACTGGTTTAGTTTTAGTTAAAGCACTTTCCAAGATAGAAGGGGATTTACTCTTCTTTCTTCTTCCTTGTGAAGTTATAACACAAGTTTGATTAGATCAGCATTCAGTATAGATTATTATGATATGTTGTTGTTGTTATGCGCCGTGGAATCGGTTCCGACTCATAGTGACCTTGTACAGGGTTTCTGAGGCTGTAAATGTTTACGGGAGCAGAAAACCTCATCTTTCTCCTGTGGAACAGCTGGTAGTTTTGAACTGTTGATCTTGTGGTTCGCAGCCCGATTCATAACCACAATGCTACCAGAGCTCCTTTATTATGATATATGTATCATATATTTTGAGCTATATTATTATAATGTAAACACACACACAACTCATGGCTGAGTCACATAGAATATTATAACTTTTCATTTTCTGTACAACTTTTTTTTTTTTTTTTTTAACTTGGAATCAGTAATTGTCTTGTTTTCCATTTACTTAGTTTTCTAAATTTTTTTTATTATTAATATAATTCCAAACTCATAAGCCAATCTGAGTCACTGTTCAACATATTTGGATGCACGGGGAATTCTACCAGTTTCATCTGCTTGAAGACCTCTTTCTTGTAGCCTTGTGAACTTTGCAGTCAAAAATAGTTGCCTCTACAATGCTACACAGCAGTCACTCTGGGATTGTCTATCTTCAGTACCTTGAGGATTCCTCCTGCATTTTCCCATGTTGGATCTCCTGTTTCTTAGATCCAATCCTTTCTTTTTTCTTGATTTAATTACTTGTGTTGATACCTGGGAAAAGGTACATGGGAGGCAAGATTTTGAACATGTCTCTATTTACCTTCTAACATGACCGATACTCTAGCTGAATAAGGTTTGAGTTGAAAATAATATTTTCATTCAGGATTCTGAAGGCAATGAATTCTCTGTTGTTGTCAAGATTTCAGGTTGTTCTTGAGGTGCTTGAAATCATCCCAGCTCTTCAACCATTGTAAATGGCCTGGTTTTTTTCTCATTGGACAATTGTACGATTTTTCTCTCTGTTACCCCTACCCTGAATTTTCACAAAAATGTGCTAAATATGGGTCTATTTTCATCCATTCTTCTGAGTTCTCAGAGAATTCATAAATTACGCAAGGTCTTGGCCTTCAGTTTGAGAGATATTTTGTTGAATTATATATATGATGATCAATGTCTTCACCCTTGTTTTTCTTTTCTAAAAAATTCTGTTCATAGGTTGTACCTTCGTCTAATTTTATCTTTTACTTCCTTTATTTTTAAACTCTTGGTGTTTTTGATCTATTATTTGGGAAACGTCTATATTTTCCTCTACTATTTGGGAAAAGTTTACATTTCTACCCTTCCATTCAATGTTTTATTTCTCCTTATTATCTTTCTCATCCCACCACTCATCAGTCACTTCATCAGTGGTGGCTTGTGTGTTGCTGTGGTACTGGAAGCTAAGTCACTGGCAGGGTTTGAACTGCATTAAGGAGCTGAAGTGCACTGGTATTGGGCATTCTGAATCATGTAATCATATGGTTTACTATGCAGGAAATAGCAACTTAAAAAAGGAATGGCGTCACAGTCATTATCAAATAGAACATTGTAAGGTCTATCTTGAGGTACAATGATGTATGCGCCAAGATAATATTCATTATGTTTACACCGAAGATTGGTTAATATCACTATGATTCAAATTTACACACTAGCCATTAACACAAATGATGATGACATTGAAGAATTCTATTAACTTCTTCAGTATGAAATTAATCATACATGCAATCAAGATGTACTGATAATTATTGGTGATTGAAATGCAAAAGTTGGAAACAAAGAGGAAGGATCAGTAGTTGGAAAATATGGCCTCGGTGATAGAAATGATGCTGGAGATCACACGATAGAATTTTTCAAGATCAATAACTTATTAATTGTGACTAACTTTTTCAGCAACATAAAAGGTGTCTCTACACATGAACCTCACCAGATGGAATATTCTTGAATCAAAATGATTACATCTGTGGAGAAGCTCAATATCATCATCTAAATCA